AAAAAATATATAGTTGCTATTTAACATCAATATTCAAACTAACTCTGTTCAGCAGCTTTGCAGAATTCATTAAACTCTCTTTGAACTTTGTGTAAAGAGGTGAACGTGTCTAAACGGCATATTCAAACCCAGTGTCTCAGCATGAGCTCCAGTATATGGCGTGTATGTGTGTGTCGCTGCTGCAGTGGAAACTTCACTCAATAAATGCTCTATAAATGGCATTGAGTTTTGCGGTGAGCAGCATTTCCATCCAGACTCACCCTTGAGCTCCTCCATGTTCTGCTGCAGCTCAAAAAGCAGCAGAGCTCCTCATTTACACTGAAGCGTGTGCTGCTTCATTTAGATTTCATTTGTAAACCTCTGCAGACTAACAGTCCAGCAGAGCAGTTCAACCAGTTAAAGACCCTCTGAATTTCAGACTGCAATTCATGCCTGGTAGTTTTAAGGCCATTTATATGCATGTGTACTACTAAACATTAACAAAACGATCTTTTTCAGATTTATTGGAAATTTCTAATACCTATAAGCAATTAAAATGATGACCACCTAACTTCCTGTCCGCAGAGTTTATATGCATACAAGATGTTAATAAAATGAATGGAATTACATTTAAAGTAAACAAATTGAAAGTCAAATAAAACAAACAACAAACAAAAACAGTTTATCTCTTTTCCTTAAAAAGAAATAAAATATTATACTTGTACATTAACCGTTAGCAATATAAATAATACAAACAAATGCTTTTTTTAATGCCATCATGAACACTGATGACACAATATAACACTGTTTCTCTGGAACGTAGTGTTAAATAAATGCTACTATAAAAAGAAGAAATCAACATATTATTCTGGCCATTTGAGACTTTGACAAATCCACCAACAAAGAGACAAAGCCAGCAGAAAGCAACAACAACACAGTCAGCAACATTTATGAATCCATTTGAATTGCCTTCCTTTGGTTTCAGGCATAAATCTGAGTTCCGGTGCCTGAGATTTGACTGAATGGATCAGTGAGGAACGATCAGTCCAAAGATACCGTCAATCATCCAGACGAGTCTGTTTTGTTTCTCAGCATCTGGTGATCAAGCTCCTGGATTCAGTTTTGGCCACCAGTAATCGGAGCGAATCGTTGGACGTCCGGATGAGTTCTCTTCCACTGACAGGAAAAGACAGAGCATTCGGTCAGTTTTAGTGCCAAGAACATCTATAAAACCTCTCTATTAAATCTTATAAAGTTAATCTCACTAAACCAGTCCAGAACATTGCCAGGTCTTTTGACTCTAAAATCAAATAAAGAAATAAGAAATGATATTTAGCTTAAGAAAATAGCTAGGGATGTAACGATTACACAAATAAAATAAATCTCTTAATATGAACAAACTAAGGCT